TGATTTTAATAAATAATTGTGGAATATTGTTAGAGAAAATCTAGATTTTAGGGTTACATTTAAATTTTATTAGTTTTTAACGATAAATCTTCCGATTAGAGTGCAAAGATAAAAGCCTCTAATTGAATTATAAAAAAAAATGACGTTGAATGATCCGATCAATTGAGGGAATTCCGACGCTTCACTGTTTTAACTCATTGATTTTAATTTCATTACTTGATCCATTGATATTTAAATTTTGTTTCGAAAAACAAAGCATTTTCAAACAATTCACGAAAAAACCTAATTTATTGAACCCTTGAGTATTTTTCTATCTCCATGTGGAATTGACACCCTAAAATTGTGCTACAATTATTGTGTTATTCTTTGGGCATAATTAGATTATCACTTGCATAAAATGTTTTGATCAAAAGTAAAATTGATTTTCAAAATGATGTTTGAACTTATATCATATTTTTAAAATATCATTTACCTTGAGAATAGTTAAAAACAACTTCCAAAAGTCTACATTCGTCATAATATTCAAATCGGATAGGGTTGAAAATGTGAAAATCTGCCGCAACCGGCTCTAGCCATGCAGACGTCCGGTTGGGCCATGCAGACGTCCGGTTGGTACAACGGTCTGATTTTTTTACCATTGTAATTTCAAACGCATAACGGCCATTTGGTCATCCGAACACAAGGGCAGACGTCCGATTGGTTGTCTTGTTCGACATATTGTTTTGCTTTTTAAACTCTATAAATATACTTGCTCTTTCCATTCTTTGCAAGAGTTTCAAGAGCATTAAGTGAGATATATTTTGAGAGAATTCTTTAAGCCTACATTGCATTTATTTCTTTATATCAAAAACTTCGATTGATTCAAACTCTTTTCATCATCTTCATCAAAGTTTTCGATCTCACTTTTTGTACTTGACTTACTTCTATAATTAATAATAAAAGAGAGATAATTTTTTAAAAAAAGTTTTAAACTTACATTCCATTTGTTTCTTCCATTTCTTTGTATTAAAAACTTTGATTGATTGTTTGAATTAAACTTCTTAAATTACAATCTTCATTAAAGTTTTTCAAATCATTTTATATACTTAACTTATTTCTATCATTCACAAAATAGAGATATATTTTGAATAAAATCTTTTAACTTACATTGCATCTAATTCTTCTACTTCTTTATATCAAAACTTTGAGTGATTGAATCAAACTTGAAAAATTATTATGTTTATCAAAGTTTCTCATCTCTATCTTGATACTTAATTTATTGTTCTTATTCATTAAAAAAGAGAAATATTTTGAGAACATTTTTTAATCTATATTGCACTTATTTCTTCTTTGTCTTTTCATTGAAAACTTTGATTAATTAAATCAAATATTGAAATCATCATATTCATCAAAGTTTTCTTACTCAACGCTTGATCTATCATTTATTGCTATTCACTGAAGTATTAGTCTCTCTTATTACTTAATTCATTTGTATGATTTATTAAGAGAGAAATATCATTGCAAAATCATTGCTCTAAACATGTTGGTCGTATTGAAGTCCCATGAAAGCTCAATAGTATAAGGATCGGTGCTCCTTGTTTTAAATCACCACGCGGGTTGTATTGAGATCCCTAAAGTACAATATTGTATAAGGATCGATGCTTCTTATTTGTAAGTCACTGAAATCGTTATAAATGGTCAAACTGCATCATAAGTCAATCAATATAGTGAAAAGACCTTGTTCGTGTCGAAAAGCTTGGTAACGAAGGACGTATATCATTGCTATGGATCGAACCTCCACAATTATATCGTTTGCATCATCTCTACCCTTTTACTTATTGTTATTCCGTTTATGACAATTCCTCATGATTAAAGTATAAAAATACTGATTGAAATTACAGCAACAAAGTACATTCGTAACACTCGCTGTGGGTACAAGGTATGCCAACAGAACAAAAGGGCATTGGCTGAAACTCTCAGTTACCTTGAACGAAGAAAAGCTTTCCTTCCAAGAAGGCACTTGGGTGGGAGGGATCATCAACGCAAGACATGCTATAGAGAAGCGAGGAAAAAAAGAATAAAATCCCTTTCGAGGGTTCACTGTATTTCCCAATGGCATGGGGTGATACAGCGAACGGAAGATATTCGAGAAGATTTTCCCCGATAAGCCTGCAAAACCATGTTAGAAATGACCCAAACAAGAAAGGGCCCACCATTGTGAGCGAGCTTAGAAGGGGCCATATTAATGAGGAAAGAGTTACAATGAATGTTTATAAACAACTATGCAGCCTCTTGAGTCCCATATACAATGAATGTTTATAAACAACTATGCAGCCTCGGGCACGGGCAATCCGCCATTTGGAATGGCCCAAGGCATAAAAGCATTATCTCTACTAATATAAAAGAGCCA